ATAATTATTGTAAAATGGTAGCTAAATATATTAACAGTCTTTGTATAAAAACTGGATGGTAGATACTCCGTATACAAAAGTATATAAACTCATTTCAGACTTGTTTAAAGCTTTTAAAAAGAAAAAATAAAATAACACATTGAAAATCAAATCAAGAAAACGACTCTGACAAAGAACATTTTTCTTTCATTTGACATTAATATTTTAATATGTAAATACATTTAACACACTAATAACTTTATTTGTTACGTCCCAAAATGATTTGCAAAGTCAACTATTATCGGTTAACACAGTTTCATTTTATTAACTAATTTCGTATATCAAAATTTAATTATTTTCTAATTTGAAGTTTGTGAATTTATAAAACTTTCAATGTAGTTTCTGAATATGTAAACTTTAACTATTAAAATTGGTTTAACTATGGGTTTTTTACAAGAATATTACTAAAATAAAACTTATTTACATAAATATGACTATTCATTACTACAACATAATATTGTAGTAACTTAAGTTCAAAACTTGAACATGAATTACTATGATTTCATTAGTACTCTAGTAATGAATCATATTTTTGTAAACCATCTTTATTTTGATCATATTTATGTAATTATTTCTTTAACTATTAATTTTATCGTTGGTCAAATTTAAAATCCGTAAATTGTAATATAATTTGTGAAGGAAGAAGTATATAAATATATTCCCTATATATTGGCCTATTGGGATTGTTGTAGATTATACTCTCTCCGTAACATTCATGTCTTCTCACTTTCCTTTTTTGGACGTAACATTTATATCTTCTCATTTCTAAATCTTCCAATCATACCCTCAATAATTTAAAAAATAATACACTACTACACCTACTTTTTTTGGATTTATCCTTCATTCCATCACATTATTTCACCATCTTCCCATCATACCTTCAATAATTCATACTCCATTTCAGTATTCTTAATCTCACCCACTTTGGAAGTGGGAAGATATATGTGATACGGAGGAAGTAGTAGATTATAGTTAAAATGCATTTAATGCATGTCATTGAAAAACTAATTATATGAATATCATTATTGTAGAATAATTTTAAGTTTTGAAATTATTCAAAATTTAATGCGTAAGAATGATGTGGCAAATATGTGTACTAAAAAATCCGTTTATTTGGATAGCATGAATGGAGATGCTCTTAATTCATATTAATTATAGCGATTGGCTAATACTCCGGAGTATAATTTAATGCAAAGTTGTCAATTGGCTCGAGCATTGCACGGTAGAATTCGCTTGAAAAGTAATTATATTCGTTTGACATGTAATGCATTTTTGGATTAAATCAAATTGAAAATATAAAAAAGTGTAGGAAATAAATAATTATATTCATAAGTAATGAACAATAAGGTGATGTTACATTTAAATTTAAGATTATGTAGATAAATTTATGAATAAGGATGACATTTTTCACCAAATGAAAGATAAAATAAGGAATAATGGCAAATATATTACCGCTAAACTTTTAGAAGAGAAACATATAACTACATTTAGGATTTTCAAAAGTATGTATATTACCTTTTTTATATTAATACACAAATTAAGAGAATGATTAGTAATTCTTTATTAGTTAATGTAATAACATTTTTCATAAAGTGCAATTAGTAATCAAGTGAACTTATTATATTCATGATTTTCAGCACTTAATTAATTAGTCATATATTAATTTCACATCTAGTGCAACTTAGAGCATCCACAATGCTAATGGCATTTGAACCCCTTGTCTCTCTTCCACATCATCCTACCCCCCCCCCCCCCTCCCAAAAAAAAAAACTTAATCCCCCTAACCTATCTCATTTTCTCCCCACTATGGTGGCCTAGATCACTTAAAATTTTAACACTCTCTATCCTTAATTTTTATATATTCCACCATTATTAATTTATTTAATTTGAAAAAGGAATACTCCGTATAAAATCCACATTTGACCCACTGTAATTATTTACTGTGAAAAAATAAAAATAAACATATTTTAAAAAAATTGTTACATGTCCTTAATTCAGAGGAAAAAATGTTCTAAAACAGATAAAATAAGATGTAAGAAGTAAAGAAATGGCAAATTTTGAAGTATCTAAACATATCATTCATTGATGTCTATGTATAGAGTGAAAAATAATAATTTTTTTACTATAAATTAAATTTAATGCATAATAAATGAAATTAGGAAGTTAGGGGTAGTTGATGAGGTTGGTTCAAAGTAAAATGCCACTTGGCTTTCTCTAATTGGTTAGTTACAAATAAGTTGCCGGTCACTTCATGACCTCTCATAGTGGGGATCAAGTGGGATCAACTATTTTTTTTATCTCCAGTGACCTCCCATAGTTGATGCTTTTAAAACTTCTATGTGGCTGATAAATAATATTCAATCTGGATTTCCACGAGATTATGTTTATATATATATATATTGAGAACACCACATTTACCCCAAAGCGTTGCACAATGAAGCTAGTATATTGCACTTTTTCACATTTTCACAATATTTACCAAAATGCCAACGTGTTTATTTAATTTAGGCTTAATTTTAGAAAATTGAAAATGTGCAACAGAATAGCTCCATTGTGCACCACATTGATTCAAATGTGAGTGTTATCACGTTCTCACGTTAAACATCGTTCTAACTGAAACCCCGCCCTATTTTTTTTTACTCCAGGGGGTCTGGGGGGCCTAGAGTAAATTGGACTGAAACTCACTTCATTGAGTTTTGAACCTGAGACCTCCCATGGAAAGAGAGTGGGGCTCCATGTCACTACTAATAGTGGCAGAATTTCTGCCACTAAACTCTGCCTCTATATTGCAACAGAAATGTTGATCCGCCATAGAAGCTTTTGGTGTCAAGATTTCAGTGGTAAAATTTCCGTCACTAATATCCATCACTAGGCTTGTTAGTGGCCGATTTAGTGACGGATTGTCCGCCACTAAAAAGCGTGATTTCTTGTAGTGTATAAAAAATTATATCTGAAAAAAAAAGTTTTTTTTTCTCAAAGCAGGACTATTTAAAGTATAAATTTTTTTAGTATAAAACAATGATGATTTTACTTGTGCATTTTGTTTATGTTTGTCCTATATAAGGAGTTTCTATTTAATTTGATTAACACGATTTCAATTTTTAAATATAAAACTGCTAAATATAAGTTTAAAACATAGACAAAATTCAAAAATAGGATTAAGTATATCTTATTTCCCTTGAATGACTTATTTAGAGTCATGGTAAAAGAACAAGTTAGATTAAAATTTACCAAAATATGAGTGAATGAATTTAAATTTGTAAATAAAACAATGATAGTCGATTTATAAACTTTGTCCATATTTTGACCCTATGTAATTGCAAGGATATAATTGCATGAATTGACTATGCTCATAAAAACATTGGAGATTTTGAGTTATCTCATGATGAGATTATACGATAGTATGAAATTAATTATGACGACGTCGTGTACGCGGGCATATCTTTACATGCTTTACAGTTCCATTATAATTTCCTCTTTACAGTTTAGGTATATGTGCTTAAATTAAATTTACTGTTGAGTAACGACCGCCAAGGTGTTGTCGAGATATCTAGCGTAAAGCTTGACGGTGGTGAGCAACGGGTACCCTACCCCGAAATCATCCAATGCGTCCCCGCAGTCGCTGTGTAGGGCGGCGCTCAGGCGGGTCATCAACGTGCCGTTGTCATTCGCGTCAAGGGCCTTCAATGACAGGTTCAAATCGTCAACGGCTTCCTCAAAGCTCTCATTGCATGTCTGTACGATAGAATCCTTCGACTCCGCTGGCAGGTCCGCCACGGCGGAGATGACAGCTCCGCTCATGGACTGGATTTTCTTGGCCAGGGTGAGGGTGGCCTGGATGGCGTTGACGGAGGCATCGTGGAGGCTCGTGGCATCACCCACCATCCGGGTGCAAAGCCGTTTGCTGCTGGCGGTGTTACAGAATTTGCTCAAAGGTGACCCGCTTTTGAAGGGGGGGAGGAAGGCATGGGTGCCGTCACAGAGGAGGAGGAGGAGAGCGGTGGCTAAGGCCAGAACTGCCGCTACTCTTTGAGTCATCTTTTCTCGATCTTGTGACGTGACTTTCCAGCGGCGGGCTCTGAAAGAGGAGGGCTAATTAACTAATTAACCTGAATATATATACCGGTTAAAGTTTCTTCTCCTTCAGTGCCTCTTACCTTAGCTTAGAGAAAAGGTTGGGGAATATATATAAAGCTAAGGTTGGGTTTGTGAGAAGGAACGAATTGATATATAGGGCAGCCGCTCATATGAACCCAAGATTTTAGTCCTATAAAAACGGACGTTCATTCACAAAATTGACGTTTGTTGTGGCCTAAATGATCGCCTGGCATGAAAAATCCTGAGGTTCTCCATCCATACTTCCATAGTTCGAAAAAAATTGGTTAAAAGTTAAAAGTACAAAATAGTGAATGTAAAAATGTAAAATTGAGGCAAATTGTGAATGTAATGAACTAGCTCTTTGCTCTATTGCTCATGAATCATGATCAGATACGTTTATTATACTTCAATTTCCGATCCTTATTACAAATAGCATCTATAGTCTACACTTTATACCCCAACTGCCTATCATTTTCTTCTGATGCGTTTCAAAATATTCGATCGCAACCAGTGAAAGAAAGACAAGTATAACAAATTATTTTGATCGCAACCAGTGAAAGAAAGAAGTATAACAAACCAATGACTAAATAGTAAATAATCAACAACGAAATCAATATGAAAAATAAACAATGGTAAAGTCCTGAAGAAGTGCCTGGCGTGAGTTGAAATAAACTTGTCGCTATGCATGGTAAAGCAAAGTCAAGTATGCATGTCACCAATTCAATACGATTTGGTCAATGACCAACCGCTAACATTGCGCCAAAATATATACATAAAACCTAGTATTTTTCAATAATTTATTTAGCTAACTTTCCGATTCAATTTTAAGGTGAAATTCGGTGAGCATAATTTACATTTCATGAGGAACATGCTCACAAAATTTCATAAAAATTCCAACCAGAAGCACTTCAAATGGAGGCAGCCGGACAATAGTTCTTGTCAGACCGGCCTGACAAGATCATTCCTCAAGTTGAAATTATTTACAAAGTATATGCCACTTATTCATTAAAACACTAGTCGATCCATATTTATAGTATGTTTTATTACATGATTTAAACTACTCGACATATTATTATGGATTAACGTATGATTTGCTTGTGATTTTGGCATGGAAAGAAATAAACAAATGGAAGTCATAAAGTACGAACAACCTTGGAATGTCTAGAGCTTATCCATCCATGGCTTCCAAGAAACCTGTATCAATATATGACAAATAAATACAGATCTTTTGGAGTGGCTAAGCCAGAAAAGACCCGCCTTTTTTATATTTCGGACGGGGTTTGAATCTAAAATCATTGCACTCACAGATTGTAGAAATTTTAAGCATAAACAAAGAGCAACAGAAGTTAAGCCTAATTATTAAGCTATTGTAGGAGTGTTAGTCACCACCACGACTTGTTTATCGGTGCTTGCAGGTGGCATCACAACAAGAAGAGCTTGCAATGGTGCAAACTGCAAACGCAGCTAACGAACAGAAATTTTAAAATGACCACTGCTGCTGCTGCACTTCAGTCTTCCGATCAGCAGCAGCTAACATATTCCAATGCTTCAAACAATCTGCTGGTAAACGCAAGCAGTAGCAATTTGAGCAGCACCTCTAATTTCAAATTCACTGGACAATGCCTATTTCACACTGTTTGGTCTCATCGTTCAGCTTTCCATCCTTCCTCCCGAGAGGAAGAGGGTGAACAGATGTTAAGCAAATAATCAATGTAATGCATACATATCTTTCATGCAAAACAGATTTAGGCGCTGTTTAATCATGGAAAATGTTTTATACATATAACATACTCCGTAATTTTTAACAAAAAAATAATGCTTTAGAAAAATACTTCTTTTCACATGTAAATAAAGATGTCAGGGCGGTTATGTGCAATGTGGTGCTGGCAGACAGCCTTGTCGTCTATAATAAATTATAATAATACTCCGTATAAAATATAATAATGACTAGTTTATTATTGTTTTAATTCAAAACACGATTTTCACACTAAGTACATATTTCCAATAAATGAAACTCTAGAAACTTTGTTTTAAAAACATTAAAGTGATTCATGTGGTTGCTATCTACAGAAATGAGAGAGAAAATCATAAAGAAACAACTTAGCTAGAAATACATATTAAGTATATCAAGATAGTATAATGATTAAAAGAGAAGAAACCAAGAAGAAAATGAAAGAACAAAGGCAAACTTGGTGGGCGGCAGTTTATCTCGAGTTCTTTTTCTCTTTACTCCATTTAGATTTTTTCTTTTTCAAGTCTGATGCTGCTACTTAAAATAGAAGAAAACGGGCTGGGAAGTCGATTCAAAAGGATTTGTGAAAAATTAATTATGGACATAGCTATGAACACCTATTCAACATCCACGAAACATCATTCAATCCTAGCACTCTTTAGACGAGGCGACCGACCATGGAGAGTGCTCTCCACTGTACGGATGCCTACGCATCATCACCATGATAACCATGTATCGACATTTGCATAACATCATCCAGAAAGGTTTTTAATTGCCTAAGAGAACGCAACAAATTATATGCAAACGATTGCAGATACGAAACTGAACTGAACCTTATAAATACCAGGCATTGAATACCAAAAGAAATGTAATTCCTAGCACAGAAACCTCAAAAAAAATGGATGCTAAAATAGGAGTAGATAAGGGAAGGTACACATGTAGTTTTGGGTACCTTAAGAACAAGGAAGACATTTTGCAGGCATTGTTTAGATGTTAATCTTCTTTAGAGAGTTGCCATACGTATAGCTGGAGAAGGATACAAACAGCTTACGAAACCTGAAAGCGAGAGCGAAATTCTTTACATTTTTATCCATATGTGCTTTCTCATTTAACAATACTACTTTTTCACACAAGCACCAAACAGATGTTTTCCTAGATGGCCATTAGAAGCGTTTTTTACTATCAAAAGCATTTTACATTTTCCTGCCAAAATTTATTTTGAAGTGGAAATACTTTTCTTCCTCTGCAATACAATTATATCCCTTCGAAAATAATCTACCCAAATCGCACTCTATTTTTTGCAACATTACATACCAAACCCATTGGCTCAGGTGTTGGGCCATTGCAGCATAGCTTCTACTAGGGTTTTCATTGATCAAGAAATATACTTTTTCATTGCGATGAAACTTGACATACAAGAGAGAAAACCAAACATCTACTGGTCCGATGTATTTGCGGAATATATTAGTGCTCACCTGTAAAACTTAGTATAGAATCGTGAGAAGTATATAGCCACAAGTGCAAAAGTGATATCATCCTTACCCCTTGTGATATGAATTAACAACATCTATGCATTTGGAGAACTTACAAGCTCCCACGCTTCCACATTTTTGTATGAGACGTCCTGGATAAGTTTTCTGCCATGTGCAAAGCGAAAAACATTAGTACTAAATACTAATGTAGTTAGCGAGAAAAAACACACAGTACACATAAAATAAGATCGTGACACCAGTAGTTAAAAAGCATTTGAACATGTATCATGAATGCTCGGTTAAGTAGTGTTACTAAGTAAGTAGTGTAATGACAATGACTTTAAAACAATATTCCATAACAGCTTGGATCAACTCACCGCACACCTCGATTCAAATCACAATGATTACAATGACCAGAAACACCATATTTGTCAAAACTAATTACCTGTGCATGACAAAATGGTCATATAATCAATTAAGAGAAAAGATCTATCAAAATTCAAAAGAAGTAAACATGTGAAAAGATTGAAATGAAAAAAGTTTCACTAAAAACAGTGTTGTACTTGAAACATAAAAAGTGTCTCACACAACTTTGAAACAAGCCGTCTCAATATTATTACACATTTTGACTGGGCAACAAGAAATTTATGAAAGTAAACCTGCGCGCTTAAGATTTATTTTGTAAGAGAGAAATATTGTTACTCACATATTGGTTTCTTTAAAATAAAATGGGAAATAATTTTTTGACCAACAAAAAAATGAAGTCCAAAGATAATTTACGGACAAATGGAGAAATTCTTCTTAAACTTTGTATTAAGCTTGTCCTTCATTGGGAAAAGTATCAAATAGACCCTCATACCCAAAAACAATCAATCAAACTCATAAACTTAATAAAAAGTCCAAGCCAAAAGCTTGTCCTTCACAGTCATCTACTGGTTTTCAGGTTACTCTGCTGATGTGGCTGCTCGCTTGCCCCTCTTTTTACACTTATCATGAAATTCATGTTTACTACTATTCTACTACCAAGCCAAAAGGATCTAGAAACAACACTTTTTCACTCAGGTTACTAAACTAAAAAACAAAAGACCGAGAGACACAAGCTGCCTTAACCCATTCCATTACCACCATGCCTGGATAAGCAACTTCTCAAAAGGAAAGTAGAATAGAATATGTGTAGCCTATTCTAAATAAGCTCCTTTTTGCCTACCTAATAAGTCCTCCTATCTATCCCATTGCTAGCCTTTAGAAGTCCTTCTCCCAGTTGTAGTCGCTAATTTCCAACCCCCTCCTGTTGGTTTACAAAGTTTCCATCTTTTGCATAACTCAAGGGTTCAAGTTCAGGTAGACTTTCACCAGTCATATGTGGGAGTAAATACAGGCACAGAAGATAACACAAGTTGCACAACTACAAGTCCGCTATACGATGCCAACCTTGACATTTTCAAGGCACTTTTCAAGACCAATATTAGGGATATTGTGTCCCCAACGATCAACTTCTCGTTTTAGGTTCTTCCATTTTCATAGATGCATTTGCTTGGATATATAGCAAAATGGTCACATGCCACTTATTAACCACAGACACCCTAATCACCACCGTTGCATTTGGAACTGAAGTCTCACCATCGTCCCCACCCATCTCCTATGCTCATCCCTAAATCTTCTAGGCCGCATTAGTAACTTCCGATATGCATAAACAGATCACAAGATTTCAACCGGAATGGGAAATTTAAACTGAAATGCTGAATAAAAAAGAAATAAAGAATTGAAGATGGTAGAAGACAGTAGAAGGAGACTTTGGGAGATTTAGAGTAAAAAACGGTAGAGTGAGAAGACTTTATAGTTAAAAAATTAAAAAGAAAAAAGTAACAAAGAGTACCTGGGACTTTGTAGATCAACTATTAGATCTCCGTTTTGAGATTTTTTTAAAGTTTATGGGTTTGATTGGGTGAATATTGAGTCGGAGGGTTTAATTGACTTTTTGAATATACTACGCAAGCGTATTTTGCAGTTTTCCCTTCTACATTACTGAATATCAAAATTGCAAAAGAAATCTATAATTTGTGAATAGAAGATGTGCTGCTATCTAATTTACCATCAACTTTATGCTTGGAATTGGTTTGAAGCTCTAAAGGCTAATTCCCCTTTAAAATTACTAACCACATCAACAGAATGGCTGTCTACTTCTTCTTTCATAAGTCTTGCCAACAGATCTGTGTTCCAGAATTTGCCAAAACCATCCTAAGGCATCACAATGAACAACTCTGAGGACTGTCGGAATGATGCTAAGAGGTTTCAAATTTTGAAGAACAAACCTCCAAATCTGGATGGTCCAAGATCTTTACTTGTTGCGGAGATACCTGAGTAAGGTAGAACTGATCAATAAAATGTGCAAAGGTATATCTTCAACTCTTCAGAATCCTACAACAAACACACTTAATTATGGTAACATTCAACACAGATGAGGTACAAGCATGAAATAAGGCCAAACAAAGAGTGATACTAGTTACGCCTCTACATTTTACTCATTTTTATCCAAAGATTACTCAGCACCATTGGTGCCCGTAGGTATTGTTTGGTAATACGCTATGAAATGTAAAGTAATGAATCAAATGAAATGTGTAATGTAAATTATCACTAAAATGAGTAATTTATTACATTTACCATCATGTGCTATTACCGGTCTACCAACGGTGCACCTTGGGTCGGCTTGGATGAAGGATTTGCATGGCCTAGCCTATACCTTAATATAATATTGGGATTTAAAAAAATGAAAGATGCCGTGTATAACAATCAAATAACCATTCTTTCAGGAACATTCTATTTATCAAGACGTAGACAAAACTCTCCAAATGCCCCCCAAGCCCCTTCAAAACCTCCCATCCACACATACTGTAGGTATAGGTATTGATAGAACTTTAACCTTAAAGCACTAATGATGCCCAGTAAACTTAAGATAAGTTCCTCAATATCTGAGAGGCAGAACTAAACAGTCTGAATGCATACGTGTTGAATTTCTTATTACATTAAGGGTTGTGGCGGCCCGGTAGAGCTCTTGTTTTCTTGTATTTCCCAAGCCATCCGCATTGCCTACACACCAACATAAACCTCCATTACACACCAATACCAAAAGATAGGTTTTCTTCCATTTTTACTGGAGCAAAAGGTTCTGACTCATTCCATGTAAAAGAAATGATCTTCTCACCTCAGAAATTAAACATATTTGCTCTTTCTTCTTTCCAAATTTAGAAAACAAAAAGCGGAAAGCATGTTTGCTTCACTAATTTCAAAACTTAGAAAACAGAAACTGGTAAACATCTTAAAAGTTATAACAATCACCTATGACAACTAGGACTACCCACATATTCCATCAACGGCAAGCCCTACCAGTGATCTTACACCGCCGCCTTTGGTGCCCCTTACCTACTTACCTTACACACCCTCGTGAGCCCTGCTAACACCAGCACATTCTCTAGGAAAACCACCACCGTTGCTACAATCAACTATCGGAATAACTAATAGACACGACCGACGAAAACTAGCACCACCCCTGACCATTGCCGTCACCGGTGATCATTGCCAACACCCATGACCGTCACAAGAATCGCTGTGATCAGTGGCCACTGGCAGTGCTAACCACTGCTACCATCGTCATTCCTAGCAACCATTGCCAATGTCAATACCATCGTCATCGCCTATCATCACAAGTTCACAACTACAACTGACAGCCACCATACGACCACTACCACTGTCATCGAGCACTAGCACTGACCACCACCACCAACCATTGTCACCCTCACGTGGTCCCAACACCAAATATATGATATTGAAATATGCGTTGGTGAAAACATATATTTCAAATTAGAAAACATAAAATAGAGAATGGAAAAATAGAAATTTAAAATTGATACATAGAAACATAAAATTGAAAAAACCAAAAACGAAAACAAAAATTGAAGTTAATGGAATTTTCCAAGAAAAATAGAAACTCTTCAAGTCAGTAAAGGGCCCCTTAGCTTCTTTAACTTCTATTATAAGAACGGAATATTCTTTATGAGCAGTAGTAGTTACAGGTGTAAATTATAACATATTGAGAGAAAGTCTCAGAAGAAAAGCAAACCACGATATCATTCTTCTTTACCAAATTCAGCATAACCACTGCCTAATCATGGCAAAAAAGAGCACTACAACAAAAATATACCATTAATCCATGATGCATATAAATTTCTACCTTAGTTGTGCATCTTAGGTGAGCAATTCTGAATTACCTAGTTGCAACTGTTACTAACACAATATAAAACTAAATAAGATCACACATGTTCCTCTATATCATTGGAAAGTAAAAACTAAAAACACATATGGCATATAAATGTAGCATAGAAATGGATAAACAACCTAATTCAAGGACTACTGGGATGAACATCAACCTTGCCTAGCAACTAGATCACAAATCTCACGTCAACGCTGCGAAAGTTTTGACATTAACTTTATGGAGAGAAAACATTTACTGAAAGCATGCATATGACTGAATTTGAAAGAAGTAAAAAACTGGAAATGCAGTTTCCAACAAGTTACAACCACCTTTTGATGTCATTGTGGTTATATTTCATATTGTCAACTCATGCAAAACAATAGCACTTACATAATTATTAAACAATGTCCATGAAAAAATGCTAGGTGAAATTCTAGTGAGTCCGAATAGCACCTCTATCTAACTATTAACCAGTTAGCATACATAGCAAAGGTTATTAAACGAGATAGCATCTCACCCGTTGATATGCATAAAATTCGCAAATCGTGCCCCTTTGACATTAAGTAATTGATGGTTGGAGTAAAGAACCTGAAAAATCAAAGATCCAAATTCCAAAACAAATGAATCGCACACATTATATAAACTTGAGCAAGAAAGTTGGTGTCGGTTAACTTTCTGCCATTATATGTAACTTCAGAAAACTGAAGATGTAATGGTTGTTTCTGGCTATCCTCAAAGGCGGAGAAATTCTGTTTTTAGGGTGTATCTTGGTGCGAGCATTTTTTATTCTCTCAGGTGGGAAAAGTGTTAATTCCGAGTAAATATCTGAGGTGGTCTTTGGGTGAGTATAGCATATGATGATAATTAACGTTACATAGATTCATCATCAGGATGTGCAATAACCAACAAGATTTTTTTCTTCAGAAAAAATCCACCTGAATAATCAACAGAAGAAAAAAGAAAACCACATCACAATTATAAAGAACCTCATACAAATCCAAACATAGTTTTAGAGCAGCTTCCATCTTACCATCATCTAAAAACATAGACTTGGAGTCAGACACAAATACATGAAGTGTTTTGCAAAGAGAACCAACCCAAATAACAGTCAACGAAACAATGATCAGCACCCACTCCATTCTCTTTTTTCTGCTGGAATATTAGATACCAAAAATCCGCTAGTCGCAAATGCAGATCTTGAATCACCTGTGTAAAAACAATTTTCCACTCCTATTATTAGTTTATTACCAACTAGTCTCTAACCCGTGCGTTGCCAGGGACATAAGCTAATTAAAATTTGAATATATATTTAGTCAAAAATTCTTTTTTGACCTATTTACGGAGGAAGTATTATATATAACTGTCACTAGCTGGATGGTCTCTGGCGGCGGCGGTCACCCAAGACGTCTGGTCATGAGTGGAGTAGGTGTCGCTGCCACCGGACAAAGTATGGTGTCACTGTCATTGGGCAAGACATAAATGTCATATACGTCTCATTTTTATCACTTTTAAAATGGGTTTCTTTTTTATCCAAAACTTCTATTTTAGTAATATCGGTGGCAAAACCCTTATATTTTGTAATAATCACTTACTTTTCTAGTGATAATAGAGGCTCACTCTAAAAATAAAAGATCATGGTGAGACTAGACACAATATATGTCTCCACAATGGAGCCTTAAATAATACTCCCTCCGTATTTTAAAGATTGCTACATTAGCTTTGGCATACTCCCTTCGTATTTTAAAGTTTGCTACACTTTCTTGTTTACGATGTATTTAAATGTTTGCTACACTCTCTCCTTTTGGTAAGTTTTTCCCTTAAAGAAATACTCAATTACCCTTACTTTTTTTACTTTTTATCTTCTCTTTCCTACTTTTTCTACACTATTCATTGCACATACTATTTCCACCTTAGGCTAAGTAAAAAGTTTTTCCCTTTATCTCACATTCATAATATTTAGGCTAAGTAAAAAGTTTCTTTTTTTTGTTTACAGCCAAGACCTATTTACACTACATATGTTATTACCAATTTAAAAAATGGACATGTATTCAAAAATTCAAGAATCGGACTTCTAAATGCAAAACATATTAAATTTTTAGTTAGATTGTATAAGAAAACTCACATGTACAACTGGTGTGTTTGAACACATTAGTCAAAATTACAGCTCCTTTTATCTATATAGTCGAAACAACACGTACTTACAGTGCTCAATCCGGACATGGTGGTAGATGAGCAAAGGAAATTCAGATTCATGTTAAATAATCGAAGAACGTTTGAGAGTTTAGCGGAATAAGCTATGGCGGCTTTGTAGACTTTAAGCAGAGTTGGAGAGTTTGGCAGGGAGTAGGCAATGCTTTGTGGACTAACGCAAGTGCCCTTAGAATCAGGCAGGAGAGACTCACTTAGTTGACTTAATAATATATAGATTTTCAAAATAAGCCACACTTTCAAAGTAACTGTTATCTATGTTCTAGTTTGAATATTATTCTAAAACCATTGATGAACCATAGTACAACACTAATATTTGAAGAAATGAGTTTATATTAACATACTGACCGAGTAATCAACAAAATTTAAACCTTTGAGTTGCGAATAGGAATCCTATAATTAGAGTGGGAAAGAGTGGAGCAGAGCATTTTAGTTTGCTTGTCTGCTTCAGCAATCGGAAAGGGCATTACTCCATTTATATGAGCAAACATCAAGATGTTATGCAGAAGTGGTTTTCTCATTAATATTTTCTTAATGAGCTGCTTTACTAAAACTCTAGAAAACCAAGAGCCAAAGATAATTGCCGAAGTAACATATCATTCTTCTCTGGTTAAGAAAATGCATTCTTCTCTTTTGATCTTAATATTTTTGTGTTTAGAAATCTTAGCCCGAGCAAGCAGCACAAAATTATATAGAAATATGCACTACTTCCCCATTTGAATAATTCAATTAGTTCAGAACACATACTACACAACCATATTTAGGCAGCTGAACAGGTCCCCTAAATTATATCTAAATATATACTCGTATATATATTTCAAAACAAAGTAATTGCAAGAAAAGAAAAAATTGCAAGACAAGAAAAATGGCATATTTTTACTTGGAATCTTCTCTTCTAAATATAAGACTTTAAACCATACACAATAATGGTTTAAGAAGAAAAATACAGAAGTGTTTTTATCATTAATCATTTTCTTAACGATCTGCTCTATAGCCAAAGAAGGATTAAAGAAAAAAAAACATATCTTATAGCCCCAGATTAGAAGTAATTGATAAAGAGAGAAAACTAATTTCAAATATTAGAGAAGTGCATTTTTCTTATATAAAGGAAAAAAAGACAACAATTACGGAGTATTATAGAAGAGAACTACGAGAAGTGCAGTGTTCTCTTTTGATATTTTCATTTCTGTGTTTCGAAACCAGTCCATGCCGACAACAAATTAAACATAAAAGAATTGGGTCTTACACATGAGTATACAGTGAGTCTAGTAATATACAAATCGGATATATACAAATTGGATCTTAAACATGAGCATATATACTAACCTGATAAGTGATAATCAATGAGTATGTTAGAAAGGAGCTTTGAGCGATCTCTAAGGAATCGGCAGGATTGTGTGAAGAATTCGAGTTTTTGTTTCGAAGGGTTGGTTGTATTGTAAAATCGTGCGTGAGAAATTTGGGAGATTTCGAGTTTGTAAGTGAGAATGGAGCAGAGGATGAAGCCGAGAATGGGTGAAACGAGCCTCTGAGTTCTGAATAAGCTTTGTTTAACCCAGCAAAAGTCCAGAGCAAATTGATTTTAAATTGATTTTAAAATCACTCAGAGCATCGGTTAATTTTAGAGAAATGCTATTGGTACCCCAAAATGGGGTACCCATTCTTACCCCGGCCTATTGTGCGGTCATAAACGAGGCAACACATTTAAGTGGGACACATTTAAATGTGTTGTCTCGTTTATGACCACACAATAGGCCGGGGTAAGAATGGAGTACCCCATTTTAGGGTACCAATAGCATTTTTGTTTATTTTAAGGAATAAGCTTTGTTTACCTGGGTAGGATGGCTTCCTCGATTTCACAGTGCATTTAAAATTGAAGGCAACGACTGAACATCAATGTGTGCTGGAAAATACTACGTACGATGTATGTTTTAGGGGGTGTTTGGCACTGATTCTGTTTTAAAAGTAGAAACAGAATCAGTTTTCAGAAGCTGGTACCTCCCAACTTCTAAAAAAATTGATTATGAGAGTAAATTAGAGCTCCAGAAGTGCTTCTGGAATTTCACTCAAACACTCCAGCTTCTGTTTCTGCTCCCTGAAGGAGCAGAATCAGTTTTGAGAATCAGATCCAAACACCCCCTTAATTGTTAGGGAAGGAGAGAACTTCGTTTGGGGAATTAAAAAACAGGGGTGGGTTTTTCTAAATTATGGGTACTTAATAGGGAGTAATTTAAAAAGTATGAAGATATTTTTGTCAATTCAAGTGAAAACAATTTCATTATGGCCTTTTTATTCTAATATTACTAAAATTAATGAAAAAGATAAAAATGTGACCTGGTTTTAGAAATTCTAAAAATGTGACTAACATCACCCCTAACCCTGCAGGTCAAAGTGACTCCGACCAAAGTGACTCCGGCCAAAGTAACTCCGGTCAAAGTGACTCGCCTTGCCGGTGACAGTGACTACCCCACCGGCGACAGTGACTACCCCACCGCCACAGTGACTACCCCACCGCCACAGTGACTGCTCCACCGCCATAGTGACTGTCCCACCGCCACAGTGACTGTCCCACCACCACAGTGACTGCCCCACCGCCACAGTGACTGCTCCACCGGCACAGTGACTTCGGCCACCGTGACTGCCCGTCCCGGCCATAGTGACTGGCCACCGGCCAGCCACAGTACTGCCCGCCCAACTCCATCACCACCATCCATGCCAAAAACCACCACCTCCCATCGCTTGCTGCCAGCGCTGGCCGCCAATCCCAGCTCAATTTTAACACCAACCCCAGTGCCTCCCTAACACCAACCCCCTCCCCCTCCCCTGCATCACCCAAACCCCAGTCAGCATCCCCCACCCCTCACAACAGCCCCCAACCCCCAACCAGTCCTTGCAGAACCGCGTCACGCGACCCCCACCCTGCCATCACAGACAGCTCCCACACAATCGCGAGCTCGTCGCGGCCAGGGCACTGTCACCGCCACTCGTCACCACCCCCCTGAGCATCCATCGCTGCACATCACGTAACCCTAGCCGCCGCCGTAGATCTATTGAGGACGGCGAATCCAGCAGTGGCAATGGCCATCGATGATGACTGAACCAGCGGCGGCCATCGAGGAAGCCTTAATCAGCGACGCCGTCCATCGAGGATGACTCCTCGACCTTCGTTGATGGTCGATGCTGCTTGCGATCGAGGATGACGACTCCTCGATATTCGTTGGTGGTCGATGCTGCTTCCTGGTCATTGTTGGTCGATGCTGCTTGCGGTCGATGGAGGATTCGAAGGTGGAGCTGCGATGGAGGAGGGTTGCGAGGTGTGGAGATGGGAGCTGAGATAAAGGAGGGCTGCGAATTTGGGAATGGGCTGGGTTACGGGGAAGAGTCTAGTCATGTTTTAGGGAAAAAGAAAATAAGTCATGTTTCTTGAAATGGAAAGGTAATCAGTAATATTGAGGCAATTTTTTCTTTCATTATCTAACACTTCATTTTTTAAACTCTCTCAAACAAAGTAAGTTTATGTTTTAAACTTACACTTACCAACCTTTCCGAGCCCCTGCCAACACATACTAACACTTCCATTATTAACACTTATCAACACTCCATCCAAACAGGCAGGGGTGGAGACAGGGAGGGGCTGGAGGGAGGCTCGGCCACTGCAAGAAAAAAATTCTCAAGTATAAATTATGTATAAATACTTTTAATCTATAGAAAATATGTTGATATTTTAAACTTTGGCCTCTGCGATGTAAAATTTATAAGGGAACCGACCCCCTCAACCATAAATTCCTGGCTCCGCCACTGCAAACAGGTAGTTACCCTCAAACGATATACTCCACATAAATGTGCTCAATCAATGAACTTGGTCCTATGTTGGGAGTCTCTAAGGGTCTCTTTACTTTCGACTTAATGAGCTGAATAGAACTGGTGACTTATAGCATGTTTGATAAACATAAGTTTCTATCTTCTAACTTTTGCACTATTCAAAAAGTCTCTAAAAGGTTCTAGTTGTATGTTTGACATGACAACTTTTTAGAGTTTTTCAAAAGTTAAAAGATCATTTTTAAATGATACAGAGAGTAGCATCTAATAAAAGCCCGTGACTTTTAGTATTAGTTAGTTCTAACAGTTTGTATATCAAACCGAATTAAATCAAACAGTCAGCTTTTTACCAAACAGTTTCCACCTTTTCTTTTTAAGATTTTTTTAGTTATTAAAAACTAACAATTACTAAAAAGTTCACAAAAAGTATCTTTTCAGCTAGTTGTGTCAAACATACTCTTGATCTTACATAGTAGTGTTTTTTTGCAACTTAATTTTTAATGCAACTTATTCGCCCAGTCAAGTTGTGACTTATTCTTAAACGTGAAGTTATATGGTCGAGTTTCGTTTATTGGGGTCTCATATGCGATTTTTATTTGTTCTTGGGATGTTGATACAACACCTATTCTCGTGTTTTTTTTTTATTATCGTTGGTATACACTAATACATCCACGGTGAGTTCTTGTCTTCCAAACACTGTTTGTTAATTGTTGATTCATTGTTTATTGTTTTTCCCAGGGCAGATTTTATTTGTAGTTAACATAAGTAATCATTGCAATTTTTTGTGGCCACAGTGTTATTATTAGTTATAGGGAAAATTGTCAATTTGGTTCTCGTACTTTCATGAAAAAGTCAATTAGATCTTCGTACTTTTAAAAGAATCAATCAAATCCCCGAACTGTGTAAACACGTTCAATTGAGTACAATTGTGGGTTACTTGCCACGTCAGCATATCGCCTGCTGACGTGGCACACACATGGCGATCCACGTTGTGTCACGTCATCAACAAATGGCTGACTGGATTTCCACATGTGTGCCCCGCTAGCAAAATTATTGTTGATTGGGCTTCCACATATGCGCCACATCAGTGGGTGATCTGCTGACATGACAAGTAATCTGCAAATGGACTCAATTGAACGCTTTTATAAAGTTGGGGGATTTTATTGATCTTTTTAAAAGTTTGAGGACTTAATTGACTTTTTCATAAAATGGGGACCAAATTGACTTTGCAATTCGTAGCGTGGAAAAGAAATAGATACGTAGTAGAACGTAATGGGGAACAAACATCATAGAGTAAAAGACAAATTTATGAGATGATATTGGTAATGATCAGTAGACAGAAGGGTAAATTGGGAATTTAATATAATTCAGACTATATTAAGCACACATAGTAAACAACATGTTATCGCAGTGTCACTTAATCCAAACAGACCTCTTAATGCAGACAGACGTCTGAATCCACACATGACTTAATAAAAATTAAAGTAAACAGCCTTAGGAGTCTTGCCCTAAAATAAAAGCAAATTCTACTTGAGGGCTGTTCGAGTCAGGCGGCCTGACCGGACAGTCCCGTGCGGCCTTTCCCGTTTGGGAGCCTTCCCAGTGGAATTTTTTGATGAAATGTTTTGAGCATGTTTCTCATCAAGTCTAGTTTATCCATACCAAATTTCAACTCAAAATTCGATCGGGAAGGCAGTCAAATAAATTCTTGAAACATACTAGAATCTGCGCATATATAAAGTGCAGTATGTTTCAAGAATTTATTTGACTGCCTTCCCGGTCGAATTTTGAGCTAAAATTTGGTATGGATAAGCTAGACGTGATGAAGAACATGCTCAAAAAATTTCATCAAAAAATTCCACCGAGAAGGCCTCCAAAAGGGGAAGGCCGCACGGGCCTTCCAGTCAGGCCGACTTGACTCGAACGGGACTCAATTCTACCTATATTGCTACATATAATGTCATAATTACTCGAAAGTGTAAAAACCAATTGATGCTTTCAACTTTTTAAGCCACATGGTAATTTATTAATAAATAAATTATCAATGTTTTCATTAATAAATTGATACTTTTGGCAATAAGCGGATAGTAAACCAACATTTGCATGCTACTTACATTCCGTAATGTACGAATAGTTTTTTCATTAAGGGTTTGGTTAAGGAGTTTTGACATGAATATTAGTAAAATTTAGGAATTTGACAAAAAGAGACGTTTTTTAAGTTTCCAAATAGGTGACTAATGAAGACCTACTTTACTAAATTACCCTTTCTAGTGTTCGGCCCTGCATTAGTTCGCATAAGAGTACTCCAGATTGCATCGGATAAGAGAGTACCACGGATAAGAGAGTACCAGATGTCTGCATTCTCTAACGACCATTAATGCTTATTTTATTTTAAAATTATTTCTCATATAGTATACTTCTTTTTTTAATCATCTCTAACCATTTATTCTTCTTTTTACTTTTTGTAAAGAACCATTAGTGCTTCTTTTTTATTTTGAAATTATTTTTGAAGATAGTTGGATATGGAAATATAAGTGTATTAAATATTTAATCTATTATACTAAAATTTGTGTGAAAAAAGTCTAAATTGTTTAAGTGATCATCGTCTCAGTTAATATCGCTCCAGTTACTACCAGTCTACCACCCCAGTTACTATATCTTCAATGACCATCATATAGTTACTTTCACTCCAGTGACCAACATCCCAATTACTAAAACCCCACTTACTATCACTATAGTGACCATTTCCATCCAGTC